AATTACAATAACATTATTAGGTAGATCTATTTTAATAATTGATGCAAAAATGGTTAAAAACGGGTAGCATGAACTTTTTTTTTTATGACAAGTGTCACGTTTTGCCATTCATTTTGTTAGTATTTTCAATCATACAGTATGCAATAAAAGTAATCATTTATATACGTGAGTAACCCACCTTCCAACCTGGTTTTGCTGTACGGAAAAATGGAAAGTTGTCCTCTATCCACTGATATATTTCGCGAAGTGTCATTCTGCCGGTGGATGAGCTGCTTATAGCGAACTGGATGAGGGCGCTATAAGAGTATGGAGGACGCTGGTGATGTTGAACCATTGGTTGAAATATCTAAAATTTGTAGAATTCCAATAAAAAAATGAACATACATACACTTCAAAATAGAGGATTGGAAGCTTCTGTATTTGTGGTAAAGACAAGCCACACTCGTCTTTACCACAAATAGTTGTCTTTGCCACATTTTAAATGCCAAATTTCTTTTGTCTATAAATTATAAACTCACTTGTGGAAAATGTGTTCCCGAAATCAAAGGCTGTTGCTGGTTTGAGTTTAATGTATCAGAATCTCCCAGCTGACGTAACCAAGTCATGTTTGTAAGGCTTCTAGATGAATCCATAATTGAATCTACAAAAAAATTATTAAGGGTCATAATCTTTTCATTTAACTTGTAAATTGTTCACTTAAAAATTGGAATATTGTATGTTCATATTAAAATGAGACTTTAAAAAAATTATATATATTATTCAGTATATATTTTGTATATGTCATTAATTTTTAGTGTACTTGTAATAATAACTATTAAATCTTAACATGAGGATTTAAAGAAAGTTGTTGACAGGCATTTAATAAGGAATGTTCAAACATAATTACACAATCTAGTGATAGAAAGACAATTTAGTTGAAATACAGTAGACTGACAAGTGGATATATATAATATACCTCTTTCTGCAAAGGTGTCGGAGGAAACATTGTCTATATATTCATTTTCAGTAGCGCTGCTAACTGGTTCTTCTTTTACATTATCAAGGATGCGTATAGTTCCATCGTCAATACGAAATGTTTTTGTAGAAGTACTATCCAAGTAAAGTTTGTCTTCGTTTGTGATTTTTCCCAAGGACGAAGCAGGAATGTCTGTATTCAACATTTTTGTAAAATGGTTAGGCTGTTGAAAGTCAAGAGAAGGTGAAGGTGCATGATAATAGTCATTTGGTTCCCTTTGCATTTCAGAATTAATTGCAAGTTCATGTTCGTTACTTTTATTTTCCTTTTTCGGTTTTGTATGTCGCAGAATCGCAACACTGTAGACTCGTTTTCTTTTCTTCAGTGGTGTTGACTTTTCTTCGAGGCTATCGTAACTGTTTAAGATTGGCACGTTGGTTTTTGTTTCTCCATCTGTATCTGACTTAAGTGGATCTATATTTGAACCAGTCAATCGTGAAAAACTCAGTCGTGCTTCCTTCAACCTTGAACTGTTTCCACCACTTACATCTCTGGCAGACGCTGCAATATTACTTATGTCACCGAGGACATTATTTTTTGGTTTTTGATAGTACAATGTATTTTGATCCATTTTGCGACTGTACCTGGAGTAGGCCTAGATAAATATTGCCTCTGTTACTGTTGGTCTTCACTCTTTAAAACAAAATATCTAAAATTTCAATAACTCAGAAACATTATGATAGTCATTAATAATAGTATTTCACAATTACAATAATTTTCATTATTATCAGCAATCTCGTAATTATTAATTTTGATTGATCTTATCTTTAATTAGGCCTAGGCCTGGCCCCTATCCTATGTATAGGCCCTATAGGCTATGTGAGGATTGACCCATGATGCCATCCCTAAGCCTTTTAGTTTAGTAGGCCCTTTTTATCTAAACTTGACAGGATGCAAGAATGAAACTGTCTTAAAATAAAAGTAGGTCTTTCTATTCTAGCCAAATATACAACCTAGTTAGGCCTAGGCTGGTTAGTTATTACCTAGCGAAGGCCTATCTAACTACCTAATGCCTATCTCATCTGCTCCACCAGTAAGTGAGAAGAAGCGCCTTCTTTGCCTTGCCTCCTGTTGTTGTAGGTCCCAGCTAGCCTACGCTAGCCTAGCCTAGGCCTAATCCTGGTCTGGAAGCCCGGCCTAGAGAGAATGAATAGATTAATAACCTAGCCTATAAAATCAATAATATTACAGTAGTATGTATACAATTACTGTACCTGAACTAAATTTGGACCTAAACAGTAAACGACCATAGTTTTTAATCATAAAACGTTGATTCAGATTTAAAAACCTTTTACAATTCCGCTGACCTCCGACGATCGAGATTTAAATTTACGGACACTATTTTATATCCACCAATCACCACTCGTCTTTCAATTAGCTTCTTTGGCAATATATGTCACGTGTGTTCATTGGACAAAGATTGCTGATTCAACCAATCAAAAGCAAATAATTGGATGTTAAGGTAATGTCATGTCAATTTTCTTCATACACAAAACACACACGGAGCAGAAAATCTGAGATAGCCTAGTACTATACAAATGTTTTATTACTGTGATATTTCAAATGTACGCTTCTTTTACTTTGATATACACTTTTATATAGGGCTAAGGGCCCAGAAGTAGTACGACCGATACTTAGATAGGCTACAGCCTATATAGGGCCAAGACCTAGCTAGGCCTACCTACCTACCTAGACTCTCTCTGGCCGGGCTTGAGAGGGCACATGGACCATGGAGGGGGTGCATTCTTGTTGTCGTATCATGATAATTATTAGACCTAGCCTAGGCCTTGTACTATACTACATTTATATATAATATTACTTGGATTGGAACTAGCTAGGCCAGTCGCCCTCCTTTTTTGTGGTTCCATGTGATGTTTAAACTTTGAGTGTTTCTTCATGTCTGATTTTTTTTTTTTTAGCTGCAAATAATAATGAATGAAACTCATCACATAAAGGCCTATAGGCCTATTTACACAGAGCACAACAGCAGCATGTGATAGCTACAAACATATTCTGTCGCATAGTGCAGTCCACTTTCTGTACACAGCGCAACACAACAGCCGTGATGCAGGCAAACCATACTGTAGAGTTTTTTTAAATTGCGCCGAGGATATCTAAAAAATTAGCTCAAATTTGAACGTAAAGAATTGCTAGGAAAATAGGTGCGTGGAAATCGTAATTGCTGCATAATTGCATTGGTTGTTTGTATATTAAAATTTATTCAAAGCCTAATTTTCGGCTAAATCTGCGCGGAAATCGGCCCATATTTTCTGAAATGCGCGGATGGATTTCTAGGCCTTTTGTGCGGAGGATATATTCCCAGCGCCGGCCTTAATATGCAGTCTGGCAAGCAACCTTTGTTCTGTTCTGATTACCACAAAAAACCTAATAGGTTCTATTTTTTTGTGCTGCTGTCATGTGCCGCTCTCATGCTCTGTGTAAATAAGCCTTAATAAAATTAAGAGCAGCATTCAATTGTTCATATCTGGGTGTTAAAAGGATGTCAACAATTTGTAACACAGCCTTTTCATAACTTTGCTCCAGATATTTTGTAAAGCAATGTCTGCATTTAAAGAATGTCCCCGGCTTAGTTCTGAAAAACCAGATTTACGAAAAGTCAGCTACCTGTTGTTAAATTGAGCTCTCAATAGCTTGTGGCTGTTTGTTGCTCCGACCAAACGAAAACTTTATTTAACTATTGCTGTTGATCCAAGCCATAATACTGCAGAACAGTTTTAGGTAACACTAGTACTTTATGATTGCTGTGATGAATACAGTGTTGTCTGTTTTCTTTGCAGTTCCAAGTGAAGGTTCAGTATCATGGGCAGGAGAAAGAGAAACAAGAGCAGTAGCAAGCGAAAGCCAAAGCTGATGTTTACTGACAGTCCCTGCAAAGAGCCAATGAAAGTCTTGTGTAGTCCTGTGTACAATGCTGAACACCCTGTTGAAGCTGATAAAATACTTGTACATGATATCAACAACCTACCTTGGGTAAAATTTAATATTTTGTAATTTGCCAACTTGTGCTTCTTAATTCGTACATTCCAAAACATCTCAGACAGAATTAGAAATGTGGTTTTCTTATAGACGCTAGGGGGAGTTATCCTCTCAAGCCCCACAAGGGCTCTAACCTTGGATCCTAACAGGCCTATAGGCATCCTTAGCCTCTGCTGATTATTGTCATACCCCCTGCCAAACAGGTTTGTCCAACTGCCTATGTATCCAGGCATCACTTCAGTAATAATTTTAAAATGATGAAAAGAATAATCAATAAAAAAATTAATAAATACAGTAGAATAGTAAAATTATAATAACATAATGTCAATTGTCTTTGCGAGAAAATAATCCTTGAAAATAATTTAACCATCGGTCAATGGTGTCTTTTCAGGTGGTTTTCAGATAGGAATTCTATAAACAGAAAAGACTGACGTCTTTGAAATATATTTGACTGTTGCAGTGCCCGTAATACAATCAGATATGTACCATTATTATTAAATTTAATCACTGTAAATGGTTGCTGATGTTAAAAATGTTTTTTAATTGCAGGTTTCTCCACAGTTTGATCAATTGCATTTCACACAGAAGAATAAATCCAGAAGAAAAAAGAAAGTTGAAAACCAAGATGAATCAAATGTAGTGGACAAGCCATTGACTATTCCAAAACGACTAGGCAGGCTTCAGTTTGAAAATGAAGACCGCGTCCGTGTGAATAAACAACTCGGAAATAATCAACAAATTGGACTAGAACTGACGTTCAAAAAACGTCGCCGGAAAAAAATGCTGAAAGGAGATTTATCAGATGATAGTGATATTGAATTGAGTGATCAGGAAAATTTGTTGGACACAAAGGACAAAAGTAGTCATAATATAGAGGAATATTTGGATATTACTGATACAAAACTAAATGACAATCATGAGACAGTTCTTGCCTTTGATACACCTGTGCGAGATTATGGAGTACATGTGCATATCAGGCGACGACGAGATATGTTGCCACCGTGTGCGAGACAGAAATTAATGGATGCAATTCAGTACAAATAAATATTTCTATTAACTTGGGTTACTAGTTCTATTTTCAAACCCAGGGACTTTTTAGAGGATAGTATTAAAGTCGTCATCTATTTTTCATCATTTTCATACGGGTACAATACATACACTATAGGGGGAGGCGTGTCAAAAGTTTATTTATCCTTATATGAAAATAAAAAAATGATGGTCTTTAATTGGCAGCAATCATCATTTTATTACGTGCTGTTTTAGGCGGAGGGAGGGCATTGTGAAAAAGAACGTTTTGTATTCTTAGATCAAGGGTGGCGCCAAGATTTTCCCAACAAGTGGTTTGATGCCCCTGACGAGAGCGAAGTGGTTGTAGTCGGGTGCAGCTAAAAATCTTTTGGAAATGGTCCAAGGGGCAAAGCCCCCTGAAAACTATGTGAATTTAAGGGTTTCGAAGGCTTATTTAATTGATTTTAGAGTCTAATACTGTATATAAAACATAAATGTAATCGTTTTTCTCTCAAAGGGGGCCCTGTCCCCTGCCCTCAGCTGGTGTCGCCCCTGCATCAGATTTAGATATAATCTATTCTAAGGCAATGATGGAAAAATAGATGACTAACTGACTGCCTACAGCTGATGAAACTAACTGTATTGTCTTAAAACAATCATCTTGATTTTATGTATGTTTACTGGAAAATGAAACACAAGAAATACAATAAAAACTATTGATAATAAAATTTATACAGCAATAAATACAATTTAGTAAATGAATATTTTTCTGCTTCTTTAATAAATACCCTTTTCTTCCTAAGCTTTCTACTCGCATTGTCATAACATTGGATATAACTACTGTACTACCATTGGATACAATTTGGAAAAACTAAAAAAATGTTAATGAACTGCTCACTTAAACAGAGTAAATACTATGTTATCAAATTTCAATGAGATTTGTATCGAAAAGTTTCTCCAATTTTTTTTTTTTTTTTTTTTTGTCTAAAGCTAAAAATACAATAGATTGCTTTTGCAAAAATGATAGAACATACTGAAAGCAGTTTTCCACTAAGCAAATTTTTGTGTGACCTGAACACCTTTGTCTTGAAAAAATCATGCAAGTGCTTCCTTATTTCTCACTACAAATGAGTGTTAACATTTGTGGTACGCATTTTTCAGAAACATTGTTGCCATTGATATGTCAGCGCAACACAGGCCCTAAGTCAGCTTTGCTGCCTGGGTCGAAACCCCCCCCCCCCCCCCCCCCCCCCCTTAATGGATTAGAGGACTAATTAATTAATAGAGTGCTTAATAGTAACATGAAAAGTAAAAGCTATCTTTCCATTTACAGTATTCAAATGCTTATTTTTGTTCTTTATATTTATTTATTAATATAGCAGCCCGGGGCACTTGCCCCGTACGCCCAACCTCTCGGAGCTACTGGCGTGATATATAAATCATTGATTCGATTAGGTGCTCATGGGCACAACAAAGTCTTTTTCTGAGCTCTGATTGGCTGTGCATTATTTCGCTTCGCAAAACTCTTTCAATTTTCGTGAATAAATTCACCTAGTGGAAAGCTGGCTTACCAGCTCTTATTCTTACTTTCCTGAAAGCGGCTTAATATCAAACTGAAATTTGCAGAGTATAGGTTGCATGGTATACTGAAATATTAACAATTTAAGACTTCTTGTTTGCATCTATCAATTGGTAAGGAAATTTCCTAGTTCTAAATTGAAAAAAGCGAATTTGTATACATCTGCAGAAAATATTGAATTTTATAAGTTTACTACCCGAAAACATAAAGTATATTTTTACCTGAAATTTATATAAGTACAAGGTACCATAAATATTCACAATTACACTCACTATCCTTAATGATATTTCAGTTGTCTTCACCTAATCTAGGTATAGGGGCCATTTAATGTGCGAAGCACCAAGTGGGGTTGG